ATAAATCTTTCAATTTGCCATTTCTTTTGTAAAATTCTATCCTTTCACTCCTGGAACTCAGTGTTGAGGGGTCAAAGAGAAAGACTTTGAGAGAACATTAAGGCAATATTAAGAAATTCATGTTGCAGGTGAAAAGATTGTATTTGGCTAAATAAAGAGACCAGCTCCATGGTTTTGCTACCTTATATGATCTTGGGAATAATACTTAAATCCTTCGAGTACTTGAACCTACTTTCATAATCTTCACAACAGAATTGATAATTTACTCCACAACACTATTGTAAGGACTGAAAGATCGCTGCTGGGGACAGGAATGAGATTTGCTGGAGAAGATCCAGAAGCAAAAGAAACAGAAGTACATTTTTGCCTAAAGGTTAGGCTTGATCTAATCTTAATTCCATGGGAATTCCTATTCATGACACACTTTATTAAAAATACTCTAGAGTTCTCCTGTAAGTTGAGCAATTATTAAACACATTTTTGGCATAAAAAATTAATTTACCTTGGGCTGGGAAGGTGGCTCAGTGGTAGAGTGCTTGCCTTGCATGCCTGAGGCCCTGGGTTCAATTCCTCAGCACCACATAAGCAAAAAAAGCCAGAAGTGGCGCTGTGGCTCAAGTGGTAGAGCGCTAGCCTTGAGCTGAAGAGCTGAGGGACAGCGCCCAGGCCCAGAATTCAGGCCCCATGACCGGACCCAAAAAAGAAAAAAAAAAAAAAGAAAAAATTAATTTACCTTTTGAACAGTTAAAAGCCAACAGATTTTCTTCTTTCAAACACCTAAAGGCTTATTAGAAATGTGCTGTTATTCAAGGTCATATAGCATACTTGGAAAATATCATGTTCTGGAAAATTTTCAGGCTCAGATGCCATTTCATAGTTAACAGAGTTAAACTGATGAATATCACAAAACTCCATAAGAAAATTAGATTTATTTAGACTCTTCAAAACATTATTTTTCATTCTGGCTTAAAACAAAAATACATTCCTTAGAGTTATAGCTTCATTTTTTTAAAAAAATTGATTTGCCACTACAAGTCACTTAAATTTTTTTTTAATTTAGGCTAAAATTACTTCATTTAAGAGATTTAAAGAACGAGTATGATTTAGTTTAAAAGTATCAGAGAAACTATCAACAAATGGTCTTTCTCTGTCTCTTTTAGTCCTAACAGCTAATATGTTTTGGAACATTTGGAGAATTTCATCAAGGCAGTAGTTCTTAGAAGAACATTTTCCTGACTTACTTTAACATTTTATATGATAAAAGTCCTATTCACTCACAAGGAAGTACTAACTATGGAGGGAAGAGGTCTTCGTCAATTAAAGGCACTTTACATTTCTGCATGACTAATAACAACAATATCTGAACTTAGGAAATTTCATTCTAATTAAAATAATGGTTTCTCTCTGTGGCCTTGTCACCTACTGGACAAGGCATCTATCTGTTGGGAAAAGTTTTGGCAATGAGCTTCATGGGGAATCACAAGGAAAATTCCCATCCCAGCCTGCTGACCTGTCTCCAGGTCTTCCCCACCTCTGTCTTGTGCTAAAACAAAGGCAGAGAAGGCAGCAGAGGGTTCTAGAATTAAATCATAGAAGTTTCACTTATTTATTTACTACTTATTACTGTGTGAATTTAGAACAACATTTTAGTTTTTCTGCTCTCTTCCTCCCATATCATGGGAATATCTTTCTACCTCCTGATCATGAAAAGTGTTACGGTAATATAAAGGACCTGGCTCATAATAACAACACAACCACTAGATGTGTGTTAATAGATTTTGGTCTGTTCTTTGCTCAGATCAGTTCTCAGTATGATTAAAACATGCATTTTAAAGGCAGACGTTATTCCTTCTTTCCAGGGTCAATTTACTTAACCTCAGAAGATGAAATATTATTTAATATATACTTCAGGATCTGCTGTAAATATGCTATAGTGTTATCTAAAAGAAAGATAGAAAAGTAAGCTAGAAATACCCATACTGCTAAGGAGATTACAATTCATAGAAGAAGAAATGAGTGAATTAGTTTATCTTTAGAGGTATATCAGGAAGTGGCACTGTGGCTCACTAGTCTTGAGCACAGTCAAGGACAGCACCCAGGCCCTGAATTTGAGCCCCTTGACCAACAACAACAATGACAACAAAATTCAATAGAGGCATAGCATACATTTATATAAAGGAATACCATAAATATCCTAGGTATATGAGAGAGAGATTATATATAATGTATATTATATAAACATAGATTCATTCCTAGCAGTTTTTCTCCATAGATTAGTCATTTGGCATTGATCAGACCTAGTGCCAGATGTGTTAAGTAAATGCCGGCAGGTGGTAAATACCGCTTACCAAGCCCACTTTCTTTACCAGGCACTATGCTATGAACTTAGAACATGTTATCTTATTTCAACCTCATAGCAAACTTATGAGGTAGGGTTGTTATCCGCATTTTACAGGTGAGGAAATTCAGGTTCAGACAGATTAAACAATAGGGTCCCAGCCTTGACAATTCTATCCCAATTGATAAAGTTGAGATTGGAAATGCAAGTCTATTTTCCTCTAGGTTTTTTCTTCTCAAAACTTGATTTTTTGCTACTTCACCTTTATGTATTTCATACTGTGCCAGTCACTTTTTCCTTGCTATGCCCAAATAAAATAGGACATAGAAACAACTTAAAAGAGGAAAGGTTTATTTTAGCTTATTGTTTCAGAAGTTTCCATTTCGATTCATCTGGCTCCCTTGTTAAGGTCCTGTGCTAAGGCAAACACTGTTTGGTAGGAAGAAATAGCAGAGCAAAAGTCTTCACTTCTTGGGAACCTGGGAGCAGAAAGAATGCAGGACAGGGAAAGATTCATCCTTCAAAGGCAAGCCCCCTCTGACCCATTTCCTCCAACCAGGCCCCACTTTCCAATGGCACCTTCCACTATAAACTCATCAGTGGATTTGTCTGTTGAAGATGTTAGCACTTTTATGATTTCATCTCCTCTCAATAACACAACCAGCTAGGGAACAAGTCTTCAACACATGAGCCTTGAAAGAAGTTTTTTATCCAAATCACAACTCATACTAAAGTTCATAGAGTAGATGTACCAAAATACTTATTCCTAAATGATTATAAAGAAATAAATTGCTGCTCTGGTGAAGCTATTTCCACATGCTCTTTGATTTAGTATAGAATTTTTCCTTTCTCATCTAAATGAGATTGGATAGCAAACATTGGGTCCTTTTGGCAGTCCACTTTTGGGGGCCACTTGAAATGCCTTTTCCTGAGGCTTGTAGCATATCTTTTTATTTCTCTTTCATACTGTTCTTCATTACATAAAGCATTTACTAAGCACTTGTCGGGCCCTTTAGAGATGTCTCTTAATGATCTTATATAAGTATAATTTAAGGCTATGAGTAAGGTTGAAAAAGTCCATGCTATTTTTATGATTGTTGTTGTTAGAGAAAAAGAATGCTATGCAAGTCTGTGAGCCATAAAACAAGACGGTAGCAAGGACACATTTCCAGCCCTAGAGGTCATCATATGTAAAAGAAGAAGAAAACAGAGCATCAAGTCTGTTTCCACAGAGTGAGACAAGGCAGGCTTGAAGAAAACGAGGATGAAGAACTAAAGGAAGAAAACAACAGCAAAACCATTGTACTCTATATCTGAGAGAATATTTAAAGTTCCTTGGACATATCCCTCCCTCCCCCAAAACTGGCCTGTTTCCATACCTTTGGGCAATAGCAGACAGCTTTATTTGGTAGTTTGGTGGAGATAAGAGTCTCATGAAGGGGGCATTTATGGCTCACACCTATAATCCTAGCTACCCAGGAAGCTGAGATCTGAGAATCACAGTTCAAAGCCAGCCTGGGCAAGAAAGTCCTTGAGATTTTTTTTTTGGTTTGCAGTAGTAAAATATTTTTATTGAAGAAAAATATATCTAAGCACTTAATTTCCAAAATAGTTTAACATTCACCTAGGAAGCTATATCAAATCAATTTGTTGTGCCCAGCTATGCAGGGGACCAAAAAAAATGGCCATGTACATTTACCCAAATGTTTACAAACAAGACCACAGCTACCAGCACAACTATGTTTATTGTAGCATTATTTACCATAGCTAAGATATGGAACCAACCCAGATGCCCCTCAGTAGATCAATGGATCAAGAAAATGTGGTATATATTCACACTGGAATTCTATGCCTCCATCAGAAAGAATGACATTGCCCCATTTGTTAGGAAATGGAAAGGCTTGGAAAAAATTATATTAAGTGAAGTAAGCC